CAAGTATTCGTATGCCGATGGTGTTATTTCTAGGGTTCATTTTTAACTTCAAATATTCTAAGGTACAATTGTAATTTCAGTAATTTCCCATATAAATTTTATTACCGACATCTTACGCATTGAAAAGCCTGAACGATTAGGTCCAATACATCTGCATTTCTTCATTGAAATCAGTCTTCCACGTCTTTTCCGTTTTCTTGTTTTGATTCCGATTTCGTAGGGATCTATATAGTTTAATCTGTACAGTGTATCAATACATCACTGACCGCAGCGAATCCGACAGTGGCGGATAAAAAAATCAAGGTCTGCGCATGCCCTTGAAGATCCGCCGATTGCGTAGCTTTCGGCCTTTTCTGTGGCCTAAACCGCAGGTTGCTCGTTAAAGGAACACTCACACATGTGGGGTGAATATCAAGGCCATCGCGACTACCGCGCCACCCATTCGTGAGTTGAAGATCGCGTGGTTGGTATTATTTAATAACCGTGCGAATCCCGTCCACCAATGGCAGCGTATTTTCCCGGAGCACGTGTTCGCATTGTTGATAACTCTATCGGTAAGGTCGAAGATCTTTGTACGCGCCTTCACGCATTAAGACATTTTTCGCATCTCCAGAAGGTAGACGTATCGAGCAAAAAAAAATCCCTGGACCTACACTTACCCCCAAAAATATAAAATTATGTTACGTTATCGATATCACGAGAGACTACTGTTCAAGAGTAATGGGGAGAAGTTACGTTCGTTATATTTTCATTTGACTCTAAAATAATTAAGCTCTTTAATCGATATCACGATATTCAATCGTTAGAATAGTGGGAGGATGTATGATATTTATTATACAGAGTGTTTCAAAAAGATCAACCAAGATTTCAATACACTTTTCACTGCAAATCGTATCCACCCATTTGCAACAATCTGTACTTTCATTCGACTCCAAAACGCGGCTTGGGTTTTAGATCAGTTTCTTTTTCTTGTCTTTCAATCTAGAGTTTTCACGTGATGTTTTTGCATATTTGTTAATATAAATAAAAAATTTTGGTCAAGCGCACGCCTCGGGTCATTGTGTTGCGGTTTTTCTTTTGTAATCATTAGTACATGTATGTTGTCGTTTGTCCCGGTGAAAGTTGAACTCGATTGGATTAAAAGTTGTTCATTAGTGGTTCATTAGCTTGAGTTCATTAGCTTGAAAGAAAGCCGGATTAAGCACGTGTCTTAAGAGGGGCGTCGTCCTGATAAGTATGTTGTATTACACGCAAAAAAAAAAACGATATACTTTGTAATTATTCCTTAAAATCTGTATTCTTTCGTGTTTTTATGGTCTTCGTCCAGGGGTTGATGACATATTAATTACAGCTCCCACGCAACACATGCACCCCGACATTACTAAGAAATAATTAGTACGTGCTCCACTGGATGCAATGTTAGAATTCCTCACATTAAATTTAATCCACTTATTCTTTAAACGATTCACTCTCCACCCCGTGCGATTATTAACCCTTTGAGGACCCTGAAGTTCAGCGTCATCTCGATATTAAAAAGAAATTATAATTTCTTACGGCATCGTACCTTCTTATCACATGTACTCTCTAATCTCAGCACATCTATGATAACAGTGACATCAAAGAGTAACATCAACTTACCACAGAAATTCTGTCCTCTACGTACAGGTACAGAGAGAAATCTTAATATAATCATATAAATTGAAAATGAAAAAGTTATGTTAGAAAATATATTTCGATGATACCCAAAAATGTCTTATCTTATATGATATGAGATCGGTGTATGTATTTATAATATAATGCCTTAGATAGTATGGAGTGCAATGATTAGAATACCAAAAAATGTTTATATACGTCTTAACTAATCAGGGAATTATGGTGAGTTTCCTATTTCTTTAGGTAATTATCCAAATTACCTAGTTATTTCTGGAACAACCTAGGAATATTAGCTGGGAATTGAAAGGGTTTTTTTTTTTTTTAATTACGTTCTTTCAACATAACTTTACACCGGGTCATCGTTTCAAACTGCTTTCTGTGGACTAGTCTTAAACGTGTTCATTTATGTGTTACATGTTCGTTTGCGTGTTACGCATTCGTTTGTGCGTGAATATGTTACTACCGGAAGCACGGTACGAGCCACGACGCCACAGGGTTGTATTTAGGAAACCGAGGCCACTTCCTCCCATTAAAAACATTTTTTTACCACTTATTATAATATACGTTCCTGACGACAGACAGCCATGCACGATATTTCGCACAAAACGAGTAAACAACGTTGATATCACGCATTAGGTAGCATCGATAAGCACTATATTTCCAGTAAAACGTTATAAACAAGCTGTATCTGCCGTTATTAAAAAACGACCGACCACTCCATTGGGCAAGGTCCATTTCGAGAAAAATTTCCCGTCGATTACCTTCATTCTCGGTAACTGCAAAACATTACCCCTCTTTAAAGGGTTTCATTGTAATTATTTTTTATTCAGTGTATAAATAGAAGCGAGTTCCCTTTAGTATTCTCATACCCAAAAATCGATGAATTCATAACAAGGACCATTTTTTTAAGAGCAAATCCTTCCGTATCTCGTTCTAAAAAAAATGCTACTCTTTCTCGCATTCAACAATACTCAACATTGAAGACTGACGTTAAGGACAAAAAATAAATTTTACCATTCGTCTACAAGTGCGGCTCCATATTTTGATAACCCATTTGATTAAAATTCTCTCTTTTATACATTTCAAAAGAGGAGGAACCTTCAGTTAAAATCCATTATTTGTTGAAGAAATATTTTAGACGTGAATTTGAATGCGGTTCACCAAGCGTATGGCTGTTGATACTAAACATACCGATTCTATTTTCGATACTTTATAATCCCTGCGAGTCGCCGTAAAAATAAATAATAAAAAAATAAAATAAAAAAACAGAAGAATGGAATAATTTTATTTTAGGGTCGGGCCCCAAAGTGGTACGTCGTACTTCGGCCCTGGACTCCGGGCTCCACGTTTATTCACGGTGCAATCAACGTATAGTAGCTGAATTCTGAATGAACGCCTTGATTTGTGTCTGATTCGAACAGGAGCGCTCTCGTAGGGCGATCGCTTCGACTGAAAGGAATTTAACGATGTTTGGCACGAGTTGGGTCCCGTCCTGTCTCGAGGCACGGCAAACTAGCGAATTAACGCTACTAAAAGCAAACGATAGACAATGTAGTGGATTCCCGCGTGCCTTCGGCGAGCTAGAGGCCGAATCGCTCTGAGCGATAGCGCGACGAATGCAACTATGACACTATTACAGTACGGAGTACTAAGAGCGATCACATGAGGGGCAAATTCATCAATGGTTTATAAAGAATCATTTGATACGTCGAGAATTGGGAATTGAATATTACGGTTTATTTTCAAAGCTTCATTTGTACTCAATTGAGATGAGAAACGGCCTTTGTAGTAATTTTCCGTGAATTAAAAATTTTTGCCAATTTCGTCGATACTTTATAACCAATACACGCCCTTGCTTTCAAGTGCACGGCAAACATTTGTCTGGTGTTAACTAATATTTTAATCGTTTTCCGCACTTCCGGCGGGCTAGATTGGAGAAAGAAAATAAGCGTGAGAAATGTAAGCACCGAATAAAGGAAAGATTCCCAGAAAGTGGGTATCATTCGATCTCAATCGACCAGTGAAATTGAAAAATAATAGGAGTCAGTAGCGGTTAAAATCGTATATCTTTCATTTAATCGTATCAAACAGCAGTGCCGGGCATTGGAAAAAATTTAATCGCATAAATATTCCCCCACTTTATTGCAAATGTTTCCACGGGCACTCCGCTTTAATTCCAGATTTCCGAGGGTCTTTTGTCAGTCGTAGGGAAGACGTAAACGATTGAAAACTCCTGTATGAGGGCTTAGAGACGCCTAATTCAATTTAGACTCCTTAGACCTCGTGCACAAGGTTTCAGGAGTTCATTCGTATTTCCGGTATGTTAATTACGAGGATAAACGTGAGTAGTTACGAGAGCGCTCTTAAATGCGACCGACTGCAATAGAAAATATTGAAGCGAAAGATCTCGCTAATTCTTAACCTTTATAGATTTTCACGAGTAGCAATCGAAAGAATCGGGCGGCACGCTGATTGGCTGTCTGCCGAGTCAGGCGACTCGTTCGCGTCGCTGATTGGTCGACGCGGGGCGTGTGGTGTTTCCAAGGAGCGCGCGTCATCATCGACGTTGAACCGCGACCGCTGGGACGTTTCGCCGTGGATTATGACATAAAAGCGGAGAAATGATGGCCGGGCCTCGCGGTCCCGACTTAGCCGCCTCGAGAATGCGTCGGGGCTCGCGCGAATAACGGGGACACTTACCGGTGACGAATCTTGCGCGGCGGCGCCGCCGCCGCACGTTCCTCTGCGAGGTTAGGTTCACCTTTCTCCTCGTCTCCTGTCATTCGAGTGCCTTGTGGTTAAGCACTCTCGAAATAAACCTCCAAGCTCTGGCAGCTGCCGCGCCGATCGAAGGGCTTGACCTGTCCTTCCCGATAACGAGCTAGCCGGTCGCGTTCGCCATTAACGGGCGATTTTTGCTCCTGTTGACGCGAGCCTCTTCTCCACTCTGGAGTACGTCGCCGTTTATTTACCGATTCCCTTCTAGGCATCTTTCGCGCCCCTGATTGGCCTTTCCGCCGCGAAGGTAAGCTGCCTTACCGACGGGGCGGGAAGGTTTGAGATTGGGGCGTTCTCCGCGAGAGGGCACTGCCGCGCGGGTTCGGATCTCTCGGTCGCAAGGTAGTCCGATGGTGTACCCTTGTCAGGCCTACTGGGAGACCGTGCTGTCTCTCTTGCTCTCTTCCGTTCCATTTTTTCTCTTATGTGCGTGACGGAGAAGCTTCGAGGCGGAAGAAACACGAGTCTCTCGATTACCCCCTGACCTCACCCCTGTACTCGAATGATTACCCGACCACGTTCTTATTGATCTCGACCAAGGGAACTGTCATGGCGGCAGTCTACGAAACAAAAATTTTGAATTCGTGTTCTAGTAGTATTTTCTAAAATACTGTTATTCCTTCGTTGTTCTTATTCGGGATAAGGTAGGCTCGCCAAATATTGTGTTGTCAAGATTTATTATTTTACTATGTCATGCATGATATAGAGGAAGAATTGACTGGTTAAGGGGGATGGTAATATTAAGAACATAGCAACAATTGGCGTATCCATGTTAAGTTGAAATATATAAAGAAATGCCACGAATTTTGTTTATGATAGGAAGGATCCTTTTTCCTTTACGAGCTGTGTATACCTTATTTGTACTTAATGTTTCTCTTACCAATTTGTAATTCATTAAAATAATCTGATTTTTCACCAACTTTCAATTTTTTGTTCTATTCAACCAACTATACAATTATGGAATAAGAGAATTCCTTAATTGCACTCAAATTTGATTATCAATCGAGATACATGGCATGATTTGTAGATATATATTTCTATCGAGCCGAAATAACGACGAGATTGTGGATTTACATTTGCCATTTGTTATCTGCACTGAACAGATCTTCGATAACGATCAACGATTTCGATTACAGATTATAATGAGTGGCAATAAAAGTAGCAGAGATAAAGACACGCGTAGAGATATATCCCATGAAGAACCAAATGATGATTTCGTGTTAGAAGGAAGCATATTGGCCGATGCGGTGTCTAGGGTAATAATTACTACTTTACGTAAATAACATGACGTAAATGAAAAATGATGTTAACGAGGGCAGAATTCAAGTTCATGTCATAAAGCTCAACGGTTTTGTTTAAGAGAAAATAGTTACGTCATTTTTTGACTGCGCTTTTTGGCGCTACGTCATATTTTATCACGGCATTTTACTTTTTTCAGATATTAACTTATTTTCTGGAGCCACAAATAGCACCGAAATTTACCAAGACTATAAAACACTTTCTTCTTGACATAAGGCTGAGAAAAGAACAGAATTCTTATTCCATTCAAGTAACAAACCGTGGACCGACGAATATTGATATTCAGAACCTTTTAAGATTTACTTTCGATGACATTATTTCTGCAGGATTAATTTCTGGGAACTTAATCGTTGCAGATGTATTTAGCAGGGGTGGGGCTGGCCAGCAAGAAATAATTCACGAAGCAAAGCTTGCACAAAAGACAATACTAATTCATGACAATGTCTCCGTTAAAAAAGTACCCAAGTTTCCATACCTGAAGGAATATTTGGCGATTAAGTTAAAGGTGATATACGAACAATGACGTTCATCTGTTTCTCTTGCTTACTTTTTTCTAATACCCGATATGGGAAATAAGTACAATGTTAAAAGAATCTCATTACGTGTTCACAGTGCAAATTACTTTCCACCGATTTAACGACGTTTAAAGAATCGCTGATTCAAGAAATTGTCCTGCTACAAACAACTCACACCAACGTGAAATTTATGTTCTATCTCGATGACGAGATACTTTACAATAATTACATCAAGCTGGACGACGATTATAAAAACTGTAAATTGTTGAGTTCGGCCCTCGTCGCGGTCATACAGCAAAGCGTAAACACTACGTTTAGAGATAATTGTCTGAGGTTATTGCAAGTCGCCAATTCTTACAGCGCTCAAGAAGCGATTATGAGTAGAATATTACCAATGATTCACGGGAATTATACGTTTGTTGAAGAAAGTTCCCCGATTACTGAAAACGAAAATACCCCAGGAACGTCCAGTGGTGAGCATTAATCTCAAAAAACGGTTTCGCACGATATCAAGTACAATGCTAGCCCGCAAAACATCCTTCTAAACAATAACTCAACGTTGCCCCTCGTAACTCGGATTCACACATACGTACAAATTTTCAGAATACCGCAGAAAACAATGTTAAAGATGAAAATGGTGTACCAAAGTTCACAATAACAGGTAAATAAATATATTTTCAATATCCGAAACATATACTCATTGCGCAATAATATACATAATTTCCAATGATTCGACCAAAACCTTAAGGTGAAGTGAAACACGTCGAAGAACTTGATCGACGTCGATAAATAAGATTTTTCAAAATGCCTACGTTCGTTTTTATATTAACAGCTGTATCTAATTAGATTGGGTATTGTACCAAATGGCATACTCCACCTGTCGTTTTCATACAATAATTATAAAGAAATCGAAGTAAAACTCCAGAAATCCTCTGGATTTATGCTTTCTCGGGCCCTAATTGACTGCAGAGGGACCCCCTGCGCCATTTGTGATTTCCAGGTCAATTAAATTTTCACTCCCAGACGTCGTACTATCATCGTTTTAGCATAGAAGCGCATACAACACTTTTTTGCCCTTATCCCGTTCAAATGCGAGTTTATCGACTACCAGAGTGTTCTAAATTGTCGTAAAATTGTCCTGACCCTTTCGGTTCTCATATCGGAGCCTTCGTTAATTGTATATCGATCGAAATATGAGAGCTCGACGCCATTTTGGTTCTGGTCTGGGCTGAGTTAAAAAATGTTTTCCAAAAATCCAAATATGGAATGTGTCAGGACAATTCTTATATGATCAGGAGTGATGTGTCAAAGTTTCGGATAGTTTGGTCTGATATCCTTAAAAAAAAGTGTTGTGTTCGAATCGACTGATTTGAAGAGGGTTTCACTTCACCTTAATGGTTTGTCTCGTGCGGAATGAAAAATCTTGTTTCGTCCGCAGCGTACGCAAAGTCGCGTTCAAATTTTCCCGCGCAGCTGCGCAGTAGCGGCAGTAGGCGGCGGGCCGTCGTGCGCAGTGGTCGATGCGCGGCGTCCCCGGGCCGCTCGGTTTTTTCCCCGTCAGTCGCGCAACCGAAACAGGTCAGGTTGGGCAGGTCGTCTGACAGCGCATCTCGCTCGCGGCGTCGCTGGTGGCCGCTGCGCGCTCCCGAGTACGAGGGTACTCACCCGGCGCGATTCTCGCGCGTCCCGCGGGCGAAGGTGTCGGAGACGCGAGTGGCGGCGCGATGCGCGGCGAGACCTCGCGACGCCGAGGGGCCGCCCATCCGAGGTCGCGGGAGTTTCGGTAAGGACGAGCCCGGAAGACGTCTCCAGGACGTTCCCGGCAAATGTGCGGCCCTCGCCCGACTCGGCCGGCCAGTCGTTCTCAACCGGGGAGCGGCGATCGCAGACAAGTAGGTAACCTCTAACGCGTTGCTTATCCACACCTCGCGAGCATTCGCATCTACGAGTCGTTACGTTATCCCAGGTTATCCCATGTTATTCTAGGGGTGCAGCCGATGCGCGCCGAATTGATAACTCGGTCAGGACGACCGGGTCGCTTCGGCACGCACGGGTCACGGCTCTCTCCGCGCTCTTTTCCTGCAACGACGTCCTTATTTGCCCTGGCGAATGCGAAACACGAGCCGAATAAAAATAAGGTGTCGCGCTTCCGGCGGCCGAGCGCGCGCCCAGGTGTGTTTTGCATGGCTAGACGCGGTGCGCACTGCCCCCCGAGAGGTCGCCGCGGACCTGGCCACGGTAATCGTAATGGCGGAGCCGGAGATAAGGATGCGCCCTGCCGTAACGATGTCGCAAGTCGGACCTATCGGCGTAGACGTGACGCAATTACGATTAATTACGGTCTGGGGCGCACCGACCTCCGGAGATCGGATTTTTCATTAGGAGCGCCGCCGGAAGTCGGGATTTATTCATATCGATCCGACCCGATCGACTGGATCTAATCGGCCGACCGCGCGCGGCAAACCTGCGATTTGTTAATTGGAGGAAAGTTGCGAGGGTAACGAACTTAACGAGCCAGTCCGTTAAGGTGACCCCACCTGCATTCGCTTCTCCTACGTCAAACCGATATTGTTGTACGCGAGATTAACATACAATCGAGGGAGGCTGAGTGGCCTTGAATCTTAATAATAAATGCCACCGATGTGGCACGCGGTTATGAAAGGATACCTTTCAGTGATGGGACACTTGTCATGTGCTGTTACTCGAGAATAGTTGCGGTAACAACTGGATTAGGATGAATGTTTCCTGGGTAATCGTTGTATCATGTGGTACCGGGAGAAAGAGTTACTCTTTCTGGAGAGAAGTGAAATTCTTCGATCGAATCGATCTTTATTGACTGCGGTTGACAAAATAAAATCGAATGAAATTAAGGCGGATTATTAACGACACTCAATTTTCTTAAATTCAACTTCACCAAATCTGATTCGTTAACGTTCTAGGTTCTGGGCATAAACGTGTTAGAAAGTTAATTCACCTCGAAGGATTGAAATACTCGGAATGGATTAATAATATTCTTGAACAAACTGGAAATTAATGGAAAATTATCGGTATGTTGGGTGCTTTTTCTTTCCAACGTCCAATGGTTACCGGTGAACTCGTTCTTGTATCAGCTTGAAAGAATCTTTATTCGGGATTAATAATTTTTTATATCAAGTACTAGGTGATTTGAGTTCGACACGACATTCCATTCAAAATGTGATACAACTTTCAGTAACGCTTTCGATATGTCAGACCAATTATGCGCGTGAAATTCTTCTCGCAAGATCACTTCCATTTCATATCAACTTGCCGCCATTTGGGCTGCAACAACGATGATTATTACAAAATGAATTTTTCCGGAGCCAAGAAATTTCTTCAAGAAGAAACGTTTATGCTGTCGCGAGTATATTCTTCACTCGGTGTTTCTGTAACTAGGCCCCGTGTAATGATAATCTTTAACGCATATCTTAACGATCGTCAGTTAATACTATTTATTGGTACACCATAATTTAACGGTGGAACCGTTGAAACGAATTCCTGTACGTTCGCGCAAAGAAAGATATAAAACGACGTGAATGGAACTTTCTCTGTAATGTTCTTTTTTTTTTACCAATCTTTACGATTACAATACAGCAGGATCGAACGAGAGGGTACAATTGTAATAGCGTAATGCCGGGTCCATAAAATCTTGGGAAATATATTGCAAATTTCACGTTTAGACGGATTTAGCGATAAATCCGCGCAATTGGCCGTAAAACACGCGTGCCCGTTTCACCGGGGGAAAAAAAAAAGTATTCCTTTTATTAGGATTTTATTGGCACCGATTGGCCACAATGGGCCTTTTTAGTATTTGCGAATCGCCCGAAGGCGGCTCTTGAATTGGCCCGACTGTTTCGAGATGATTTCTCGGAGAACTCGGTTGAAAAACGGCATGATCCCGTGCATCCAACAACCATCGAATTTAATTCGGGTACATTTTGCATTTCCTACGTCACATTTTGCCTCTCGGCTTCATTTTAGATGAGCACCGAGCTCCCGCGTTCAAATCGACTCCCTCGAATGTTTTCATCTTCGAGTTTTTTGGCCTCCGGAAAAAGAAGAAGCAGGATTATTTAAGCCACTCTGCCACCGAGAAACCCGGCTTTAAAACTTGCGCCAGGACTAGGAGAGGAAATAAACTTCCCCTCCGTGTTTGAACCCGTCCTTAATTTATGCACGAAGCACCCACCACGCGTGCATTTCAATGCTCGAGTCCGCTAGTAACGCTTCGCGTTTTTCATACTTCTTATTACAAAACGCGACTGTGACAGTTGCGCTTTTAATTTTCGGCGCTTCTCGGCTCGACAGGGAATAAAGCATTTGCACAACTTCGTCGTTGAAATGGGTGGCATAAAACTTCAAATGGCGCTCGGGAAGAGAACTTCCCCTCGATAACTTAAATCCACCCTTAATTTATGTACGAGGCACCCCATTTCAATGTCCCGATAGTGGGCGATGTTCCTAAGGCTTTTTATTACGAAATATCCCCGGACTCTTTATTGTAAGAAATATGGATCTTTTATTTTCATAATTTTTCGAGCCGAGGAGGGATGCGTAATGCACGGCTCGTCAAAAACTATTCCCAAGACCTGAAAACAACTTATATTATATCCATAAAAATCAGAGGCTATAACATATAAATATAAATTATTTAGGATAATATAAGGAGATAGTGATTCATTTTTAGTTAAAAAAAAAAATACTTGTAAGTGCTGAGATACGGTCGTAGGTTCCTTTCATTATGCTAAAGATTATGTGATTATAGGTTTATGCACAACTTCGATTTCAGATATGCGCAATTATTTGCGAGGAGGGTATTATTTGTTGTACCACGTTGTAATCGGGAAAGAGTAGATTTAAAACTTCCATCGGAACCTGCAGCGGAAATAAACATCCCCTTCGTGTTTGAACTCGCCCTTAATGTGTACATCAAGTACTGAACATGCGTTCACTTCACTGTCGGCCGTGATAGCGGTGGTTTTATAGAATTTCTTTTTCTTTTCTTTTCTTTTTTTTAATTGCGAAACATATCCCCGGCGACACTTTCGTAATTTTCTTCGTTTCCAGCGCTTTTCCCTTCATTCTCCGCCACGCCTCGCCGTCTACGGGCTTTCGATTTCATTAATTACTGCGCACCACTTCGCAGGAAATTGCTATTTAAACGCGTGATATCCGTCCTTCGGTATAATCGGTACGTAGAGGACGTCGTCGACATTAATTTCTACGGGGACTTTCTATTAGAAATTTTGCGGGGGGAGAGAATAAAAAAAAATGTCCATAGAAAGTAATGAGGAACGTGAAGGGATTCCGCGGAACGAACGAGCGGTTGTTTTTTTTTTTCTTGTTTTTATTTACTTCGCGCGTTTAAATGTTCTCCGCGTCCGTCAATGAAATTTTCTCCATCGATCAGGACGCGTTACGGTGATTGAAGACAGACATTCATTTTCTGCCCACCGTGGAAAATCTGTCGTAACGTTTTTAGATTCCGTGTTAATGTTGGAGATATTTATTCATCATTTATTGAGTACAAGGCGTACGAGGAGGTAGAACGGTTAGGTTAGTTTGGGCAGATGTAGCTGAAATGTTTACATACCGAATTTCTGAAGTTCGGTCTTGCTCGATTCCACCCCGTGTCGAATAATAAGCGTGATAAAAGGTATCCCAAGATGGACCTACATTTCCATATTACCTTTGTCGCCAAGGTGAGGCGGCGTCCTCGCTTTCGACCAATTCAGAGGAGTGGTCCCAGTCGCAGCTGTATCGAACGAATTTTTATACGATTCAGGGTCATCGATCAGCACCGATAAAAAGGCAAAACTGAGTTCTTCGGGTCGTTCCGCGGCTCAGAGCATTTTTGCGAAATTTCTATCTCTTCATTTGTGCACCCCGAGTGCATGTCCTTACCGTTGTCTCCATTCGTTACGAAACGGTGCAGAGTATTTTATACATATAATATTTAAGTCCAAACGTGAATTACGTCCGACATATTCTTGCCTAAATTATTCCCTTGACTCGTAGACATTTCCTGGTTTCACTTTAGATTCCCTAAGGGTATCGCAATTCATTTTTTTTTTTTTTATATATATAAACCATTTAATCGGGCACTGTTTAGGCGAAATTTTTACTTTTTCGTCAACGCGATCGGGTTAATAAATAGACCTACGTTTGTACCGTCTCTTTATCCGCAGATCGCTAATACTTGTTTAATTTGACGTTTCCATTATACGTCCATTTCGATATTTCTTTTTCCCATTAAAATGTATCTCTTCGATGCGGTTGCATTAATCACCATTCTTGATTCCTCGTGCAGCCCCTCCTGTTAAGTAATGCCGAGAAGTACGGATGCATCTAAGTACAGATACCAGTTGCAATGATAATTACGTCTTACTTAAATTTCACCTCGATCGGTAGATATTCACTGCATTAGTTTCACTTTAGAATTCCAAAGGGCATCGCTGCTCGTCCTTTCCAAGCCATTTAATTAGACACTATTTAGGCGAAATTTCTACTTTCTCATCTGTCCCTGCCCCCACTACTCGTTATCTACGAGTCCCTCTCTTCCCCTCATTCCTTCTGAGCATCGCCGAGGCTTAAATATATCTCAGTATTGACTTCGGCTCCGTTGACGATATATCGTCACCGATATATCGTCCCATAATCCGCAGACGGCTCGTTTCATTTCGGATCTCCGAGAGCTGTTGGAGCTCACTTTTTAGTCAGAGGGATCGTGCCCGACATATTATGGCTTTCCTCGCGTTAAAAACGAGCGTAAGTACGTGCCCGCGCATCGCCGTGTGAACCGATGTCTCAATTGGTTCTTCAGAAAGCAATTACTCCGTGCTACAATTACGTAACCACGTTCAATGAGCCACGTGTAC